TCAATGTGTGTGACCAAGCCCAACAATGTTTTCGCAGAATATTCAGAAGCCAATTGCCAACTGCAGCTCCAAGCTCATCAATAGTAGTAGAACCAGTGATTTTATTGTTATTGAATGGCTTTGTAGAATTCTGTAGGCCCATAAAATTCCCAGACTGCCAGCTTGGAGCAGAAAATGGCCACAAGTAGAGCCATTATGTGGTGTTTGAGAGGGCTATCTTACAGCTGCAGGCATTGGCTGCTGCCTACTCTGGGACATGGGATATGAGCCTAGATTTTTCTGTTCTTGGATGGCATGGGATGCATGAGTAATGAGAGGTCAGTTTGTCCCTGTAGTTGGCAGGGGGTAGCTACCCTAGAAATAATATTTCCAAGCTTTATTTAGAATGAAATATTTAGGGGTGGATCTCAAAATAGAGAGAATAGCCATAGGAATTATGGAAAAAGGAAAAAGCTTGGTCCATAGCATGAAATTCAGGAAACTCAAACGTTTCTGCTCATCAGAGGGGAGGTTGACATTTCAGCAGCCTCCTTTAAAGATCTCTTAAAGGAAGGAAGAAAAATAATTTAAAAATCAGCCAACAACCTGAAGTGCCAAAAAATCAGACTCTGAAGAGGGTTCCTAGAGACAATATATTATTAAGCAGTGATTTTGGTTTCTCCCCTGCCACCAAAACTTCTTGCAAAAACATGGGGATGTGTTATTTTAATGGAAACATTACACCAAAGACATAATGAGGAGAATTTCATTATTAGATTTTGAAATAGGAATAGGAAATAGGTGTTGGTTTAGTTGAGGACTCCACGAGGCTCTTGGTAGGTCTTCCTGCCTCTGCTGGGGGAATGTAGATGGAAGCAACTAACAAATTGCAGAGAAGTGGATCTGTGCAAATCTTCCCAAGTGACCACATGTGCTCTGCATTCCAGCAGCTCCACAAAACCCTGGTGGTGAGGGAAGGCCTGATGGTTTTGTCTTGACACCAACTGAAGCTCCAAAGCCAGACACCATTTTTTTTTTCTTCTGGGCCTTCAGATTAATTTGGTCCCAAAGCTAAATAAGGGAAGTTGAGGCAAATGGGAGTTTGCATGTAAAGGGAAGGTTTGTGTCAGATCCTGGCTCTGTTTTGCTGTCATTAGATAAAGGTTAGTGTGATGCCAGCTAAATCCAGGCAGATGAGCAGAGTCTGACTAAAGCAATTAATTTCACAAATTATTTTTATCTCAAACTTGGACGTGAGCTTCAGTCATTATTTTAATGCTCCATTAAAGTCCTACTGTAATGAAATAATAAGTCTCATGTTAACATTTTCATGCAATGATTGAATAAGTGCCTCTGTTCAGTGAGGGGACTGCTGGCATTTGCTGGGACCTGCAGGAGCAGCATCAAGCTGTACTCTCTTCTGTCCTTTCCCCATCCATGTGCTCTGGATCATCCTTGTTTTTTGAACACTTCCAGGCATGGTGGCTCCATCACTTCCCTGTAGAAACTTTGTGAAGGTGCCTTCCACTTGCTGCTGCTGCTGCCTGACAAGTGGCTCTCCATCAATCTGATCTTTTCCACATTAGTGCAGTGCATCTCACTTGCATGGATTTAAAAGGAAAAAGCTGAGAGGAAGAATTTAGCTCCCCCTGCCTTGCAGAGTGCTGGTGGTGCTTACATTGTCCATGTAGGACAGCATCCCAAGGCAGCTGGAGAAATGGTGCTGTGCTGGGGAGGCAGGACCCACCCCCCCACCTACAGAGAAAAGACAGCTAAAGGGTTGTGACCTCCTGGCTGAAAGCCCATGCCATGGAATTGTCCATTTTTTCTTTTAGATATTCTATTGGCCGCATTTGGAATGTTCAAAATAGCTCCTTGTATCATTATTGACTGGGACTTGAGTCAAACCAGAGTGCAATTAAGCATTAAGTGTCTATAAACTGAAATCAGACTGCAAAGTTTGTTAACTTAAGGTGAAGAATAAGTAGTTTTGGAGTTTTATGAAAGTTTTGTGGATGAATTCAAGCTAAGACCTTAGTGCTGAAGCTACATTTTGCTTAATGACCTGCCTGGTGCTCAATTACAGCTGAAATCTGAGGGGTTTTAAGTGAGATTCTCCAAGGAACATTTCTCCTGCTTCTCTCACAAGTCGAGATTTGTCCCCTAAATGCTCTTGGATCTGAGGGCCCCCAGTGCTTTTTCAATGCCAATATTAAGTCCTCTCACATACATGTCTTCTCTGAATTGGAGAGAACTTTGAATCAAAAGTATATTGTTTATGTCCTGTGAGTAAAGGAATGCTTGCAGTGAGCTGAGATTCCTGGCTAAAAGCTGTGCAGTTCTGCAAATTCTGTCACACGAATGCTGTACATTTTAATCAAGCTCAGCAAACAGTTCAGGCTCCCTGATCCTGCAAAATATCCTGCTATGGGTTTGCATTTGAATCCATTCTGCTTTTAAATGAACTTATTCCTATGAAGCTTTTCTTGCTTGGTAACTTTGGGATTTGGATCAGAAAGAGAGACTTTTGTTATTCTTTTCTGACAGAGAGCACACACAAGTGCACAAGATTTTTGTGTTCACACACACAGCCTCACTCTTGAATGAGTGGCCTGCCTATTTGTGGCCCTTCCAGGAGACCCCTGCTGCTTTTCATAATCGGTTTATTAATGAAGGATTCAGTGGGAACTGAAAGAAGTTTTAGGGGCTAGGAAAGAGTAGGGATATATCTCTCATCTAATAAATAGGGCAGGAGTTGTTCAAAGAGCTGTTCCTTAGCTCTTCAGTCTACCCAGGCTAAGAAAAGATTCCTTTATATAAAACACTAGATATTTTTCTACTATGTTATTTGGGGTTTTTTTGTGCTTTTTGCTCAGACCAGACTTCCAGAGGAGGTGTGAGTTGCAGAATTTCACTGGAAAATTTTAATTTTGTTCTACAGTTTCGTAACAAATGGCTTCAGCTGATCTTGGATTAATTTAACGTTTTTTGAAAGAGTTGCTGTGGGGATAGAAAAATATGCAGAATTATTTTCTTTCCACTTGAGAGACAGAAATTATTTTCCAAAATCTGCAAACTGGTTTGTGGACAGCCAGAACAATCTTCACTGTCAAATATTGTATTTGGAACAGTATTCCATGCCTGTTTTACACTGTTTCACAAAGGTTATTCAATGAGAGATTCCAAATTTCCTGTAGTCTGTTTTTCACAGTTCTGTGATGAGGGCTTTATTTGGGCATCAGCAGCAGGGTGATGTGAAGCCTTTCCTTGATAGTTGGAGATAAAGCCATTGGTGTTCTTGGAATGGGAATGGCTGCTCTGGCTGACACATTGCTGTGTCCTGCTCAGAGGGACATAAACCAGCTCTGCAACAGTTCCAGAATTACAGACCTACCAAGGTGGGAAGGGGCCTCAGATGATCACCAATTCCAATATTTTGTGGGAGAAATGAGAATATGCAGCAGTTTGTCCTGTTGTGTCTTGAAGATCTCCAGCCTTGTGGACTCGACTACATTCTTAGGGAACTTGTTACTGGGAGCTTATTGTTACTTCAGTTGAAGTGTGTCTGAAAAATTATACTCACACATTTGCAGAGAATTATGAACTTAAGGCAAAATCAGTTTTTGATAGGAAAAAATGACGTGTTTTTTCAAATACCAATTTTTAGAGATTAAAAGTAGTGGTAAAACTCTAAAAAATGCTAAAATTCAAATTCCTTTGAATAGTTTTATGGTTTTGAATACAATCTCCTCTTTTGCAGAGGAGAACAGCTATAGCAAGCATTTTAGTAGTCATGAATAATTGATGTTTTTCTGCTTACAGCTCCTTTGCAGCCACTGGAAATGGTTCCAGTCTCTTTGGAATTACCTTTCAAATATATGAAGAATATTTATGATAACATAATATTGTAATGTAATGGTGGAATTGTGCAATGTGTGTTTTTCATACATCTGTGAACATCATCCTTCCTGGTACTGTGTAGGCTTTGCAAACAGGATATTCTGGACCTTCAGAGCTTTTCATCATTCTGTATTTTAGGATATTAATTGCCGAGTTTGTTGTGGTACAGAATTTTCAGGATAACCTTCAATCACCTCACCAACTCTCCAATTTCTACTCAGGCTGAGTAGTATTTTTGGGAAATGAAAGAGTAAGAGGATATGGAGTTTCAGCAGGGACACTAACAAGTATAGTCACTCTCTCTAAATATAATCCATCATACTGGGATGACTCAGGCTGCCCTTCAGTTAGGAAGCAGGCTCTAATACTGCTGGGAATGTAGCACAAGGACATTCGGTAACTGAAGAGAGGTGCCAAAATGTCCATACCTAAGTATGTAACTGGGGTTTTAGGAGGCCTGCTCTTCATAAATAATGTTTATGTACCTTAGATCAAAATTTCAAAGGAACTTATCTGATATCTCTTTGTGTTGGAGACCAGGTTTTTACGATTAAAATGGGCTGTATAAGATGCAGTTTCTTTTGCAGAATCTTGGTTTTGTTTATGTGTCAGTCTGAATGAAAATTTAGATCTATATTTTTTCCTGACTATTTCTAAGATTTTCTGAAATAAAAGCAGATTTTCTGGCTCTTCTGTAAGTAAAAAAGAGTCCTATGATTCATCTACTGGCTGGGAAGTGTGGCTTTGGGGCACCTGAGAGCAGGCAGGAACACAGATGTGAGGGGTGATGATTAACAAAGGTGTGACAAGACTCCAATTAATACCATTTACTCTTTTTTTCCCTTCTCTAGGAAGCTGCTGGAAGAATGCTGTGACCCTGGGCAGCTCTTTGCTATGACAAAGATGAATTCCCCTATGGGAAAGAACCTCTGGTTTGACGGGGAATTTTTATATTCTGTCACAATTGACAATGCAACTTACTCTCTCTTCCCACAGGTTAGTAACCATGTTTTATTTTCATTTTAAGTATTAAAATACTAAATGGTAACATGATACAAATGAGTCTAAATAGGCTGAAGGGTCATCAAGAAATTGTATCTTCATTTCTCAATAACAAACAACAAAACTGCTTTTTTACTTCCACATTCTGAAAATTTTGGTTGTATGAATGTTAATACTTCCCTGGCTGCTTTTTGGGATGTACACAAGGGATGAAATTGGGTCAGCTGTCTTGATTTTTAAAATGTTTGGTTCTGGCTATTTTAAGAGGGTGATTTCTGCATTTCAGTCAGGGATCACAGTCACTGTGAGCCTGATCCCTCACCTACAATTGCTTCAGTTCAGATCTGTGTAGCCAAGATGGGACAGTGCTTTGTGTGAAGGTGTCCCAAGTTACTTCCAAGTTAAGGAAGTTCATTGATGGCAAACAACCTAAGCCCAATAAGAGAAGCCAGCAGCTTGACTTTGTTGATTTTTGCTGTGTTTTTGAATGTTGGAAGTGGTTGGTTATTAATATCTATCAAAGGTGCTCGGTTAAGTGCAGGGGTTTTGAGAGCTGTCAATTTGTAATACTGATCTAGGTTGTTTCTTGTATTTTAAATTAATACAGGAACTGATACTAAATAGTGAGTTGGTTATATTGAATACAAATATTTTATGTGGCTACACACTTAAAGAAAGCCAAACTTCTGGCTATATTAATTGATTTACCTGCTACTTTAATCTGTCAAATTCAAGGTATAGGGATTTATTCAGCCTCCCAGTGTTGAGTCATTCACACAGGGCTTCTCATTTGTTGCTGTTTCAGTTAAATACATAGCAGAGCTCTTACTTGTTAACTTCATCCTGCATATAAAACATCATAGAAGTTTTAGGGGTTTTTTTTAAGTAGTTTTTAGATCTAAAAAACCCCAGAGTTACTACTTTGAATGAGTTTCTTTTAATGGAGAAGGAGTGAGGGGAAGCTGCACAGTGGGGCAGAGGAGATGGGAGCACCTGTGGTCTGTGCTGATGTGATCCACAGAGCTCTGTTACAGCTGTGTCTTGCTCAGGATGCCAGGTCCTCTGTCTTGTCACTGGTCCCTGTTGCCATGAGCTGGGTGATGGCTCTGCCTCCCTCAGCCTGCTCCTAGCTTTTGTGTCCCAGCAAGCTCAGCAAACAAGTAGGTGCTGAAACCTGCCTGGCAAGTGGATTTTTTCCTGCAATGCAGCTGGAAAAGGGTTTCCCAGCTGGACTGAACTTCTGGAGACTGATAGAAAGTTTATGATGTGATGCAGAGAAGTGGCTGTAGGTTTTGCTTATGGTGATTGGTGTGATTTGTTGCTACTGTATCAGACAAAACCAGCATCCTTGGCAGAGCTGTGAACTTCGTACCACAAAGGTACTGGCAACAGGTGCTCAAAATGTGTGTGTTTTTTCCAAGGTTTCGGGAAAGCCCAGTCTGGGCTGGCAGAGGAGGGTCACTGTTTTGTGATCGATTTGGGATTTCAGATTTGGGGGTTTTTTTGGATTAAAACCTAGCACTCTGCTTGGCCACAGTGGTGTCTTTCCTCCTCTCACAGCACAGGGCAGCTTGCTGGATGGACTCCTTTGTAGATGTTAGAGAGAAATAATAGTCTTTGCAACTCCACTGGTTCCCAGGGTCCTAATACCTGTCCTTAAAGTTTATCAGCTGGTCAGATCAAGAGTAAAGATCTGGGAAGTCTGGAATAGAGCAGCTCCTGGGGAACAACACGGGCTGAGCAGCTGGGATTCAGTGTCCTTAGGCTTGTCAGACAGGCTGCAGAGGGGGTGGGTAGATGCTGCTGGAGGGTTGGTGGTGGAAAAGGGGAATTTTCATCATGTTCCAGCCCTGGAATGTTCCAACCCAGGACTGCTGTCCCTTTAATGAGGTGATGGGCAGTTTGTTTCTGACAAGTGGTACTCACTACTGCTCCTTCTTTCCTGGCAAGTACCACTGCCTCTAATTTGATGTGTTATTCCTTTGCATTTTGCCCAGAGGAATTTTGTAGGCCTTTGTCAAACAAAATCCTGGAAGACTTAAAAGCTAAGGAGGATCTGTTTGCAGTAATTTTTAAAATGCATTTCTCTACTTTTCTCTTTGTTTCAAGAGAAGTACTTGCCTAAATTTTCCAGGCTCCTGCTTTGAAGAATGGTGTCTGTTATTAGCTTGCTTGCAAGTAATTTTCCTGAAGATGAATGTTCCTTTCAAAAGTATCCCAAAGCTTAAAACCATTCACAGAATACGGTTAATACTCTGAAATGCCAGGGGATGTAACAGTAATGTAAAGGGCCACAGGTGTGTTGATATAATAAAAAAAATTTACTCTGAAATAAATAAAAATGGCTCCATCCACATTGCTGGGCTTGAGCAATTTGGTGATTGCAGAAGATTTCTCAGTCCTGAACCAAAGACTAACTTATAGGATAATGTAACTCAAAACTAAATAGGGAACTTGCTGTATTTCATGTTATACAAAAATAAATATGTCCAAAATTAACACATAAAAAGTCACTTATTTCTGAATGTGAGCAATAGGAAATAGAATATTTTTTCTTCTGAGCTGTCTGTAGATAAAATTCTTACAGCTGGGTCAACATTTTCTGACAGAATGCTTTTCCACTAAAAATGCTATTTCATGAAAATATAAATTTAGTATCAGTTCATTAGTTTTTCATTTTTTCTTTGAAGTGAAAAGGTTAAAAGGTTTTGGTGGTGTTATAACATTTCATTTTAACTCTTTTTTTAATGTAATACTTCTGCTGTTGGAGTTTTATCAGCTCTGTTCCTGCCTCTTTTTTCTTCAGAATTTAAGTGATTATGTTACTCCTTTTATTTTTTCAAGTTTTTGACCCACCACGGGAGAAATTAGCAAAAGAGAAAAGCTTTTATGTGGAAATAGTAATTCAATGCCCAATTTCAGCTTATGAGGACAAAATCCGATGTTCGCAGAGTTTTGCATAAACCAGTAATTCCAGATGCTGGAAGCAGCTCCTCTTGGTCTATCACTCTGTGTCATTTTACCCCTTGATTTTGAGAATTAAAATTTTTGGAAGCAGAAATGAGATATTGCACTGACTGCAGTGCCTTTCCCCTCCTGCAGAGAGCTTGGGCAATACTGAGCAGTCACAGGAGCCACACTGGCCACTAAAGGTCGTGGGCAACTTGTAGATGTATCTTGTCACCAGTGTGGACCCCTGTAAAGCAGAGCACAGAGCTGTGTGTTGGTGAGCCCAGCACTGCTGTCCCTGATGAGACAGACACACATTCCCACAGTCTGGAAGTTCCTCCCTCAGCTCTGGTCGTGCAGCATTGCACTGAGGCACGACAGAAGGCATGACTGGCATTTCCCACCCTGCACCACCTGACTGGGATGGCACAAACCAGGCTTCCATATATTCCTGCACTCATTTTTAGCTGCTCTGAGTAAGCAGGATGTCACCACATGGGTGGCTAGGATGTAACTCAAAACCATGTGAGAGAAACGTGAACTGACACTCATCTGCTTTGGACGTAGAGAATGCATCAAGCCCCAGTTTCAAAAGGTTTTTTTTTTTAATGATTTTTCACTCCTTTCTATCTTTTTTCTCCTTAGAGTTTCAAAAACAAATTTCAGAGTATCTGTAGCATTAGAGAGGAAAAAACTGCTTACCCCAATAGCTAGTTTTTTATGCAAATATCTGGGTTTTGGTGCTTGTTGGCTTAAGCCTATAGCAAGGAAGAACTGAGATAAATTTCTGAGGTCACCTTTCTCCATCCCCCAAGAGGTTAAAAACCCAAGTTAAATCAAATGTAATTTTTCACTCTGCCTTGTATTATTTTGGAGGGTAGAGGAGTGAATACATTTCAAAAGACATTTGAAATGCTAAACTTTAACTTTTAAACCTGGCAAAATAAAATTATTAATTGAAAAAAAAATTCCGGTTTCATTGTGTTTCACTTGAAGCAGTTAGACACTTTTAGTACCAGCAAATGATTTTAAATTACTAAAATACAATTCCTCAGTTGCTCAAATCCCCTGTAAAGTTTCACTTGCCAAAGCTGTCAGTTGCAAGAGTGGCTACTTGCACTGAGCTCCTCATGAATAGTCATCACAAATGATGTTGGAGAAATCCAAAGGAAATAACTGCCAACCACAAAAAATAAATTGGGAAATATGGCATCTGTTTCTGGATACTTTGTGATCAGGAGAAAGATGATATTTTCCAAATAACATGTATAATATAGATATTTGTTTAAAGTTTAAATTCCCACCATTAATATAAAGGCAGAGGAAAAGTTGCTCTAATTGTAAATGTAAAATGGAGACATTCTCTGATATTTTCTGGATTTTCTGAGCGGTGTATTGGGTAACAGTGGATTATTTGATGATTGTGCTGTGTGATTTGTACTTTTTGTTCAGGGTACCTGTTAAATTTTGGGAGCTTATTTGGTATTTCTTAGATGCTCACAACATCTTTCATTTAGCCAGAGATTTTGTGTCATCGTGCTGGTGCTCTTTCAAAGCAAATTCCTTGCTCCTACAGTTATAGCCTGCAGCAAGTAGAATAATTTGTAATTATTTCAGGAGAAAAAAATCAAGTTGGGAGTTTGGTTAGAATCTGCAAGCTTTTTCCCTAATTGCATGCTGAAAGTAACAGGAAAAACATCCCGAGGAAGGAAATGGCACTTGGGTTCTAGCAAAAGCTGAGGTGTAGGAGCAGCAGGTTCTGGGAAAGGTTAGATGGGAGCCAGCTGCTGTGCAGATCCAGGGTGGAATGTGAAGCTAGAGCTGTGTAAAGAAAGTCAACCCCTTTAAGAGGGCACTGTTACCTTCCTTAGGGCAAATACTCTGTGTTGGACTGATTTTAGACCCAGGTGATCCAAAAATTGTGTGTAAAATGGGAAACTGCCCGAAGCAATGTGGGCTAGGATCTGATGGATGGGCTGCAGTGCTGCCAAGAGGCAGGAATTACTGCCCTTGCTGTTGATTTTGGATGTGCTCTGGTAATTTTT